CATACCTCTGTCAAATTGGACATCATCACCTCCGCCAGATCGGGTGTCATCATCCCTGCCAGATGCCGGTTCGGGTGTCATAACCTCTGTCAGTTGCCTTGTCAGGGCTGTCTCTGCCACATCTGAGATGGCAGTGGCAGGTGGCCGTTGGAGGGCGACTGTCATGTGTAGGACCCCTAATCATTCAGGCGCGCCGCCTCCGTGTACGGGCTTCCTGAGCGTCAGGTACGGTTGTTCAGTTAGGTGACTTGGAGCCAAAGTGGTGTGCCAGGTGAAGTCTTGAGTTCGGATAGAAGTGTGGCCCGAACTGCCCCGTGGTGGGTCAGCTCAGGTTTTTGCCCTTTGCGCTCCTTGTAAGGCTCAGGACCTCTAAGGGAGAGCTCGGGTTCTTCCTTGGGGAGCTCGGGTCGTGGGTTCCTTTTTTGGGGAGCTCGGGACTCCTTTCCTCGGAGCTCGGGTTGTGGGCCCGCTGCCGTGCCGAACTGGCGCTTCTGCCATGTCACTCTCGGTTGCTTCCACGTGTCGCATGGCCAAGGGGTCGGGCCAAATCTCCCTCCATCAATAACTAAATCCTAAATCTTGCACAACTACTATCATGCTTTTTAAATATTTGTCACTAAAGAATAAAACATGGAAAAAAAGTTTCTTTATATTCTTTCTTCCTAATATTACCCTATTATGAATAAAATTTCACTTTTAAGAATCATGTTGTCCAAAATAAAATCTATAAATTTTTTTTATACCATGTCTTTCTAGCACCATCATAAACCCATTTGCCTTAAAAATGATAAATCATATTTTTGACATTTAAAAATACAAAAGTAAAAGAAAAATAAAGAAGAAAACCACTCCATTTTTTGGGTGAGGCTCTCATAAACAATAATAGCAACCAGTAGAAAAAACAATTAAGATGTCTAAAAGTCATTAATAGTTGTATAGCATAGGTTGAATATAAAGATAACCTGCCATAGCAAAGTTAGTCCTTTTATTGATACTAGTAAACACATACATGCATTTGCACGTGATAGTATCTCTAAGACAAAATTATTTATAATTCATGAGTAGTTTTGAACGATAATTTCTGAACAGCTATTAGTGGACAGTTTATGAAGTGAGAGTAAATGACATATATGCTCGCTGTGTGCTTAGACAAGAGGGATAGAAAATTGATGGCTCATATCATGAGCCATTTTCATGGCAAAACGCTGAAAGCAAAGAACAACATTCTGGCAAAGTGAACTGTAGAAAACTGAACTTATAATCTAAATGGTATCTCAGGAAAGATTGAGGTATCAAAATTGAAATAGCAAGAGAAATAACAAAAACCAATATTTTACAAACCCAATGTTGAGCAATTAGTCAAAAAGAAAATTCAAATCAGTAGTTTTCTAATAAAACCCAGTTATAAAAATGCAGTGAAAATTCAGTCATATTGTCGTGGTGATAGATGGTAGATACCCAAACCACTGTAATTTGTACCAGGAGTGAAGGAAATTTTCTCAAATGTCTGTTTCAAGGAATAATGCTATCAAACAGGAAGATAGAGGTAGGAAATCCAAAAATGGGAGGGGATTTACCAAAAAGTTTCATGATCAAAATCCCTAAAGTTGATAAAGAAAAGGGAAGAAAAAAAAAAGCTGATATAGATGAAACGGATTCTGAAAAAAAATAAAATAAAAGTACCCACATTCAGATTTGTACACAAAGAATAAATAAAACGATATGAACAAGGGAATGATGTTACACACCTGAATTGATGACAAGTGTCGAGCATAAAACTGTTCAACCGTGTTGGTGGCATCACTAAGGCTATTGCAGACGTAACTATTCATCAAACAACTCTTGGTCTTGTTCCAAGTTTTGTTGTTGTTAGCCCTCTTGTGCAACCAATTTGAATAGTCCCCTAATTTATACTCCTTATACCCTTTATACGACAGAACCTCTCCTGCACTCTTGTTAGTCACCACGAAAGCAAGGATCATGAAGCATAAAAGAAGAACAATGAGGAGGAACATCACATAGAGGTAAATCCAGAGAAGCCATGAGACCTGTATCACGCACCTATGAGTCTGGCGAGAGACATCAACAAGAGAAACACCCCAGAGCGATAATGGATTTCTCGAGGAACTTTTCACAGTCAGTGCTCGCTCTGTTTTCCGGCCATATTCCACCTCCCAAGATCAGAATCGAGAACAAAAAGACTGCGAACTTCATAATTCAGATTAAGTTGTTACTCACTCGGAACAACTTCCCTCATTCTCGAAATATCAATCAATCTACTACAATAGCAGCTAAGATTAAGAAAAATATATATAGAGAGAGAGACGATGGATTGAAAGGAATACATATAGTTACTGTTCGGGACTTGAGACTTTTGACGATTCAACGCTTATTCATACAGTGATTTCATTGAAGGATGTGGAATACCTTCGGTGTGTCTGCTACAACGGTCGTTGGCGTCGGACAGGTGATTTGAACCTCATAAGTGCGCGGTTAACACAGCTTCTGATTAAAGTGGGTCACTTTTTATAACGCGCATACCCACTATCATGTTCTTGAAACTGGGTTGACAGGTGTCCAAATGGTGGGAAGAAATGTTTTGAAATTGGAATGATAAATACTATTGAGCTTTTTCTTTCCTAAAATTGAGGAACCTGGCTAACCCATATATAACAAACTAGACATAACTAAATTTGAACTTTACATGCAATTGAAATTCTTTTTCATGCATGATTAGAATGCCACGTGTCTGATTGGAATGACAAATATAACCTCAATATTGTTCATCGAATGCTAGACAAATGGGGGTAGAATTAGTCCAATGAAAAGTCCAGAAAAAAAAATGGATTTATGCTTTTATTAATAGTATAGATATAGATTTTGACGATATATCCGAATCCCCTATAGGGGTGTTTTAAAGGTGACTGGATTTGCTCCTCACACATGGTGCCTCACACCGACTTCACATGCACATTCTGTCGTGCATAAGGAACATCTTCCGTACTTATGTATTATTATTTACGAGAAATGTTCCCAATGCACGGTGGGATGTGCCTGTAAGATTGTTGTGAGACACCCTATGTGAGGAGCAGATCCCAATTTGTTTTAAATACGCAACAACACACTAATAATCTCTCTCCCCAAAGCTAGTGGTTATGGCTTGTGGGAATCGAATCCCACTGAAACAAGTCAACTAACGTATCGATTGAGGCGGTGTTCGACATAGTGTTCATCTTGTGGATGGAACCGTTTTGGGACCATCCACGGGATGAATAGCCGTTCGATTGGTCCACACCCCAATTTCTCATCCACGGCGAAAACTCGTGGTTAGTGCCCGCCCACACTATTTTTGATCCCTTGCTTCACACTCTCCCTTAAAGGCTAAAACCCTATTGTCTATTTCACATTTTAATATTTGTATCAAAAAATATTAATTATTTTAATTTTTAATGTTTTTATCAATAAAATAATATTTTTAAATATTTAAAATATATTTTTTAAAATTTTAGTTATTTTACTATTGTTTTTATAAAAAATTAATATTTATTGGTTAATATAAATTCATTGATGCATTTTCAATATATTTATCATATAAAATAAAAAAATTAGATATTTATGATTAACTGTGTAAATCAAGGTTTTCGAACCGCCGTTGACTTGGACGGTCAGACTATTCGGCCAGGGAACCGTACGGGCAAGTGGTTTTGTTTTACCCCAAATCCAGTTTTTGGGCAAAAACTGTTGAAAAAGTCAACAACCGATTGACCCAAGCGCTCAAACCATCGACTCGTTCAACTATTTTTGACCATTTTTTTATTTGTAATTTGTTTGTTAGAATGGGCCGTCCGTTCGAACCGGAAGGTCAGGTCGTCAACCTGGAAACTGGTGGCTAGAATGATTCCGTTTATGAGTCATTTTTTAAAACATTGGTGTAGATAATTCATGAATGTATATAAGATACATGGAATCAAAAAGTGTGGTGTGGGTTCGTCCACACAACACTTACAGAACAACACTATGGGTGTGGACTAGTCCAGTCCACATAGTTTGTCCATAGTTTATAACAGTTATGGACTCTAATGTGGTGTTGATTGATCCTTATTACAGAGTGTAGTGTGAACCAGTCTATACCCATCAATTTCTCATCCACACCATAGAACATCCCTTAACTATGTGAGCCACCGTTACTTGGCATTGGAGAAAAGTATTTGCAAAGAAGTGAAGATTTACAAATACCCATGCAAAGAAGTGAGTATTTGAAAAACTTCTATGGGTTTGGGCTTAGGTTAGTATGCAAGCCCATTGAACAAATGCTTAAATGCTCAACCCAACCCAAGTTGAGAGAGAGAGAGGGATTAAACTTCAAAGAAAAAGCTTAGGTCTAAGGCTAAAACTTAAACGAACAAGATTGATAAAAGAAAATGATTCACAGATTCACCATTGCGCATCTTCATGTTTTTGCTTCCTATATTTGTATAATTGTATTCTCCACTAGCCATGTTTGGATTAGTGTAGAAGCAAAATTACTTAATTCTCCCGGTAAAAGAAATGCTCAACGGGGGTTTGAATTTTGAAAACCGAGAGAGGTCCATTTCTCAAGTTTCAACGTACCTTCACTTTTCAAGAATTAAACGATTTTAACCCTATAGGCTATTTCTACTCACGAGCGCGGGATCAAAATGGGCGGTAGGTCCTCCTTCACCGACTTTTGCCACGTGGCAAGTTAAAATTTCCAACAGCCTCAGGTTGCAACCATTCGTCACGAAAGAAGAAACCAAGGTGTGAATGGCCTGACCGTGCCACCGGACCCAACCACCTAGAGAAGTTGAGAGTTGAATTTGAGACTTGAGGGTCCACCCCTAATTAGGGACATGTCAGACAGTTCACACTAAACCAAGGACATCAGAGTCAATTCAGGAAGAAGAAAAAAATTTCCGATATTGTAAATTTATACATGAATTAATAGTTCCACCGGTCATTTTTAAGGCAGTATATCCAGTCATACCGTATTCTTTGGCACATCTACAGCCCATTTCTCTTCTAATTTTTTCATTATCTCTGGTCCTGGTAAGAGAGAAATTCCTTGGACTTTCAGAGTTCAGAGCCCTCCCCCCCCAGTTCCACACTTCCACCCGGTTTCCCCCTCTTTCTTTGTATCTTCTTGTTGTTGTTGATCTCTGGAATTAAGGGGGATTTGATTTCTCTGACTAGGAACTCAAGTGGGTTTCCATGATTCATTCAGCAGCCCTGCATCTCTGCTAGGGCTGCAGGATTGTCTAAAAAAGGGGAGGAGGCAAAAATGGTTTTCAAGGGGAGATTTTTCTCCTCTAAGAAATCAGATTCTTCAAGCCCCGATGGATCGAACAGTCCCAAAACCCTAAGTTCAGATTCGCCCAACAGATCCGAGAAGAAGAAGGTCAAATCCACGAAGGATGATCAGCAGATCGGTCCCAGTGGCGGGAACTTTGGTGTTGGGTGTCGTCAAACGCATGTCAAAGATGGCAGGAAGCAGCCGCAGCCGCAGCCGGAGCAGCAGCAGCAGAAGAAGAAGGAGATCAAGGGGAAGGAAGTTCAAGCTCCATTGAAGTCGACTTCGGCGGCAGTTTCTAGTAATGCTTCCAGTTCGGTTTCGAAATTGCGGAAAATGCCTGAGGTGAAAGAGGGGCCTTCGGCGGTCGCGCCACTTCTGGCATCGTCACTTGGGTTGAATAGGATAAAGACGAGATCAGGGCCGTTGCCACTGGAGAGCTTCTTTGGGTTCCGCGGGGACAAGGGGTTGAATGGTGCGAGCAATTTATCGAGGCCTGCTACCGATGGGTCTTCGCCTTCGACTTCCTCATCGGCAGCTTCCGGGAAGAACATTGGCAAGAAGAAAGATGTTCAGAAACTTAATAAGGACAATGCTTCACCTGGTAGTTGGATTGGCAATGGCAGCAATTGCGATAGCATGTCGACTGGGAGTACACTATCAAGGGATCAGAGTCCGAGTGTCCAGGTCAGGTCCTGTCTACAGAATGGTGACTCATCAGCCGAAATGGGTATGGATCTTTTACAACTATTTATTTCTCTACTGTCGTTCATTGTCATAGTAATTATCTTATCTCTTCCGCTGTATTTAAAATGTGTAATAGTTGCCTATACAACGAAAACAATAAGAACCAATGGAAATTTTATTCGATTGTCCATATCGTATTCAAATATGTCCAACGCGTAAGTAGTTAGATGGCTATTCAACTTTTTTTCTGGATCAGAAACACTAAGAAGTATTGCATTGAGTTAAGAGTTTAAAAAGCTGGTTTGATTATTTTTTGTTGCACCCTTTGGCCTAGCAAGAATTGAGTGGAAAAGCTTTTGGCTAAATATCGCTGACCCTCCCTTTACTCGAAGTCTTGAAAATATTTTGTTTGAAATCATTTTACCTTTTTCCTATTCTCTTCTACGTCCAGTTCATGAAGTTCCTTTTGGTGCAGGTGGCTATTATTTATTTATTTATTTTTTTTGATTTTTGTGGAGGTGGATATTTTCTCACCAGTCTACAACAGCAGCAGGAGAAAAAAGGAACAGAAACTTCCTCTGGTTAAATGTGACTCCCCTGCTTTTCAGACTTAAGCAATATATAACTCAAGCAGTGTTAAGCACAAAGAGGCGTGATCTTCTACATAGGGGTTTCTTGTGCTTTTTTGTTGTTTGCCCTTTTCTGAAAACTGCCATCTGGTGATTATTCAAGTTTATTGAGCTGCAGAGGCTTTGGCAGGTTATCTTTTGCTGTGAGATTAAGATCACTTGCAAATACACAAGAACTTGGGATTCTGTCACAGTTTCTGTTGAGATGTTTGAGTCGTTAAAAAGTTGCAGGGGGATGCATCTGACTTGGTTGTGGCTTTAGGGAAATTTGGTTGTGGGCCATTTCTTGGTTGTGAATAGATAGCTTAATGAGGACTTGGAATTCTGTGGGAGTTGTCCCATATCCTGTTCTAATGGATATCTTGATCAACTGAAAAAAATTACTGATGATTAATCTAATAGTGAGGCTTCTAGACCGTCTGTGATTGGATAGCTTGTTGGTGGGAGTGAAGTTCTGTGGCAGTTCCCCCCATCACTGGAAAGACTTCAGCTATTGTGTGGGGCCAATCAGATGACTAATGAGTAATGGTGAGCTAAATGAGTGACCTCTCATTAAGTTGCACAGAAGGAATGCATTCCTCAATGTAAATTTCCTCCTGTATCAGTGTTGGTGCTTGTCCCTTGTTCATACTGAAACTGTATTTCTTATCCCCTTTTCTTTTTTCTCATAGAGTTTTATCTTTGCATACAAGAAGAGAAAATCAAGAAAGGTCTATCAATAAAAAGAAAATCAAGGAAGTGCCATAGTAACAACAAAAAATTAATGAAGTGCGTAAACAGATCTTGAACAGTTGAACTGCAAAAAATAAGGAAATTATCAGGAGCAGCAAGATACTCAAGAAAAAAAATGAGAAGGGGAAAATAGAGATCTCACACCTCAACTTAGACAACATGGGTTTATACCTTAATACACTATGGGATAATGGAGCATGGGCTCATACATGAAAAAATTCTTCTACTACTCAGGAAACATATCTTTATTACATGTTTAGCTCACTTGTAGAGATCAGAGGTGGAACAAAAGGAACTAGTTCTTATATAAATTTACCTTTGTAAATTGGAAAGCTGTAAAACTATTGCATGCCTACCTTATTTAAAAGGGATAGTTCGATTGCCTTTTTTTTCAAAAGGTAAGGCTGTTAGGAACTGCCTAACTCAGGGACTCTTTCGAGGAAGCTGAGAGATACTTCTGTTACAATTCTGCTATACCATCCTCTCCACTTGTCCAGTTTGTTATTTAGTTATAGATAGATAGATAGATAGATAGATAGAGGGATAATCAATAATTCCCCTCCTAGCTTCCTTTCCTTATTTATATACTTCTGTTACAATTCTGTTATACCAGCCTCTCCACTTGTCCAGTTTGTTATTTAGTTTGTTCTAGTGGTTGGCTGTTAGTTACATTCCTTAAAGGCTGGCATGGCCTTTTCTTGTACACTTGTATTCCCTTTATTTGTGTCTCAACAAAGGCATTATACTAAAAACAAAAGGATTAAGTGATTACATCTGAACTTGTTAGACCTGATCAGACTATAGATGATTTACACCCATTTGTGTATAGACTATACAAAATGTTAGCAAGATACCAACACGAGAACAAAATATCCCTGTCAAAAGATCCATTGCAGCCAATCCTTTGAATTCCTTATGGGCTGATCATGAGCACAACATTCCTTTAATTCTGTCCAGCAAAGTTTGCTTGCTTGAGAGTTGAGAGGCAGATTTCAAAGATCTGATCATTCCTCTCCTTCCATATGCACCAAAACACAGCCCTCGGTGTCAAATCCCACACCAATCTGCCTCTTTTCCTTAGACCTTTGGTATTCTGACTGAGCAAAAAAGACTGAATGGACTGAGGGAGGCAGCCAGCCCATCTAAATGTGTCTAAGATAACACTCCACATCTTATAAGAAGATGGGCAGTGCAAGAAAAGGTGGTTGGCTGTTTCCAACTCATCAGAGCATAAAATACAGCACAACTGATCCAAAACTATTCCTCGGGCTAAAACTTGTCTTGGACTAAACACTTTCCATCACTGCTGGCCAGACAAAGAATATTTTTTTTTTGATCAATAAGACCAGACAAAGAATTTATCTTTGAAGTTTGGACAGGGCAAAACTCTTCTGTCAGCTGGAACTTATCAACATCTTCTATGCACAGATTTCTGTACAGGGATTTCATCGAAAACGTGCCACTGCTCTCCCAACACCAGTAGCATGAATCAGACACCCGCACATATGGATTATGATTCTGAATCAGTTGGAGCATCTCCATTAAATGATCTAGCTCCAAGTTGTTTATATTCCTTCTAAAACTTGGGGTCCAAGAGACTATACAGTAACAATCCATGATCAGGGCTTCTCTATCTTGAGTTATCAGAAACAAAGAAGGGAAAAGTTCTGTAAGAGCTTGTTCCCTTTTGGTTGGAAAATTCTCCTCCCAGCTTAACCCTTAAACTTTTGTTTGTTTCTTTCCATGCTCTCTCTCTCTCTGTGATAACAAAAATTAATGATCAATTATAAAACAATAAGCTTCCTAAAATTAAAAGTAAAATCTGGCTCACAAAATCATGTGTACATTAACAATTTTTTTTTGGTTTTCTTGTAAAAAAATCATGAGTTGTGCAATTTACTTGAAGAGTGGATTTTTCTCTAGTTGAGCACAGGGCCGAAAATTATGTGGTTTGTTTGTTGAGTTTATTCATTGGCCTGTCAATTTGTTGAGTTTATTCATTGGCCTGCCAATAGTTGATAATTTCTTGATGCATTTAAAGTCCCATATGATGTTGTTATAACTATGGAGAGGGCTGGCTAACAGATGCACACCTCATTGCCTACCTGAAGGAAGAGGAAGTTTCACTTGATATTCCAATATTCCATTTCTTATTTTACTAGATGAAGAAATGAGGATACCATGACAAAGGTTCTTGCTTCTCATTTGTCATGTTCTGGTTCCTTGGCTCAGTAATCTGAATTTGGGATTTATTAGGCTTGGAAACTCGTTTTTGCTAGGAAAATGGCTCTGGAGGTTCTCTTTGGACTCACACATATTGTGGCATAATAATCAACAGCATTCATGGGTTATTTGGTCAATGGTTGGGATAGTCTTGAATACTAGAGCTTCTGTGGATTCTCTTAGATGTTTTAAAAAAGTTCATTTTTTGTTGTTTTTCAACTTTGATGCCAGAATTTGGACAGCTAATTCTTCAGGTCTTTTCTCATGTGCCTCTTTCTTTTCTTGCCTATATATGGACCTCAATCTTAGAGGGTTTTTCTTTGCGAGCACCATCAGGGGTGAACCAATACCACCTAAGATTAGGTGTGTTTTTTTTTTGTTGAGAGGTAGTTCATTTGAAAATCAGTACTTGCAAAATTTTCAAAAGAGAAGGTTCAAGAGGTAGTTCACTTGCTTATTTCCTGTCCCCTTGCATCCAGAATTTGGGAATTTTCCTTTCCTTGTATGGTGGCAGGTGAATTCCCCCAGCCCTTGGTGATATGGGAATTCTTTTCATTCCTTCATTTTTCTCGCTAGTCAAGAAGGGAGAAAAGATTCTATATAGATGCACTAAAGCAGTAATTTTGTGGTGTATTTGGAAGGAATGGGATCCTAGAATCTTTAAAAAAGAACCATATTTGCTTGTGATTATAGCTGTCCAATGAGCATTGGATTCGATAGAGAACCTTCATAGGGAGGGGGAGGGAATGGCCATTCCCTCAAATGGTGGAACGACATTCCACCAGGAATGGGAATGGGATTCCGATTCCGTCCAACCAAACAGTTGGAATCGGAATGGCCCATTCCTATTCTGATTCTGATTCCAGACCCCTATTCCCATGAATCAAACGTGCCCGTACTTGTCAAAAAAACTGTCAAATACAATGGACTTACAAGATTCTGGCTCCATTGGATAGGTAACTGAATAAACCATCTAATGACACTAAAATCATGTAAAATGGACAAGTTTTGACTCTGAAAAATAGCTGAAAGAAAACTGAAAAGTTTGCAAATTTAACTCCTCAAAAATCTAATAACTCTTTAAGAAATACTTAAAATTTGCCACTGCTGGAGGAATTTGAAGAAACTTGATTAATTTTTTCATGCTTTCTTTGCCTTTTTCCATGCTTGCATCACTTGGTTGCCAGTTTATCAATGCATTGAGGTAAATAGACTCAATAGGAATATTGTGCTATTATCTTCCATAGACAATCTCTACTGTCAGGCTTGATCAGAAAATGAATACCCTTTGCAATAATTGATGGAGGGAGGGTCTTCTGGTGGATTTCAGATTCTGTAAGACCCTTAAGAGACCACTCTATCTATGTTCCATTGGGTTTCCAGATTGGCCACTCTATCTATGTTGTTATCTTAACTCGTGTCAAAACTGTTTGTCAAGGCATAGATTTACAAATATAGT